GAAGCTGTAGGTCTTGCCATAAACTGCGTGCTTGTGTTACGATGAAACAAACTTCTGTACAGCGTTTTCCAGGCGAGCCATGCGGTTATATATGTGCCGATATTCGGAGAATGTGTCAATGACCAAAAACACATGGATATTAAATGATACATTTGTGCTTCCTGGTGGCTTTGCGGACTTGAGTTTAGCAAGGCATAACGTCACAGCCGAACACGACTCTCGCTGCACGCATTTACGCCGCAAACTTGTCCATTACAAAGGTCTTACCCGGATAAGTTTCGCCCATCATTTCTCTGAATAAGCCAAACAGTTTAGGCATGGAAGCAAACTGCTCGCTCTCTACGAATGCATGCATGACCGGAGGCCCGTTTCGCATGGCCGGAGGCCCGTTTCCCATGCCGTCCGTTATCACGAAGGTGTACATTTTATATCCACATTCCGAATATTAGATGCTTTAAAGGTGGTTTGTTGCATGTGTTCCGTCTACATTCACTACATCTGGAAGGCGTCGGAACAGCGCTATCTGCTTCCATCGGGAGAAACATATATGGCTATATAGCTACAAGACGCATCCGGTCTCCCGAAGTTTTGCCAGCACCAAAGGCATATTACCTGCCATATTAAAACCCAACTATGCGGCAACCACTCAACATAGCTGGTGTACACTTCCGGCGGTAGTTGTATTTGTCATGAGTGGTGAAAATCTTGCCGAATTCATCCGCAACAAACTGCCGCACCTCGCATGAGGGCTTTTCGTATTTCAGAAGGGCCTTGCAGGTGCCCAACTCGTCTGCGGTTGGCCGTCTATTTACTGGAAGCCGGTCGTACAGAAACTTTGACTACTTGTGGTTGTGTCCAAGAAAACAAGAGGCGAAGGACAGCTGTTCTTCCGTTTGTTCCAAAGGTAATAATAATAATAAAGTGAAAAAGGTTCATGGGGTAGCCTGAGGGTACTGTGTGAGGCTCACAGCTCATGTCGACGTGCAAGGAGTTGCCACTTTCGCCTTAGTTGGGTCACACCACCCCAAGTCCACTTCATCGTCCAAACATAGCGCACACCAACTTATCACCTGTGAACTAGAGCAATCATATGCACAAAATGCTAACAACTTATCAGTTCCTGATTACAAGCAGTCACAGCTAGCACCAGTGGCTGATTTTGCCATGCAACATACGTTTTCTGGAGTTGACAGCAGTGATTCGGTGACTGGTGATCCTTTATCTCACTTTCCTGTTAGGTTGACGTAGTAGACCTCAGTTAATCTGCGCTTTTATCAATTATCTGGGAAGACGTTTCTTTTCCGCTTTTTACTGGTCTACTGTTACCGTTCATAGCAACCCCTCTTTCTGCACATTAAGGACCATATGTTATAATGCTTTGGTGAGCAAAAAAATGCCGTCCGTTCTCAACTAGTCCAACAGCTAGCCTCCCTGCTAGCTACCTGGATGAAAAAGTTCTCACCTTCCTAAAACTAGGCCCCTACTCTGGCCCAACTAGTACTTGGCTTCTAGATCAGCAAACGTATTCACCTTTCCTCGGATCATTTAGCCTGCCGTCATCCCCTTTTAGATTTTTTGTATTGACACCGTTGTATCTTATGCCTCCTGACACTCGCCGCACGCTACTGCTTTCATTCTATTTCTTTCCCGTCTCACCTCTTCCCAAGCTTCAAACCTCGACTGCAGTTGCCCCAGCGCCCGTGGAATTATTATTCATTCAGACTGGCTTGTCCCCGGTCTACACTCATACGATCCTCCAACGAAACGGAAATTATCCATGAGCCCGTATCCTCATGACTCTCTGTGTCAATCTCCGTCTCACCCAGAAACAGCTGCCACGGAACTGCGCATCCCTTCTCCGATCGCCGCAGCCTTGACGACCGTCACGGGGCTGTCCCTAAACCGAAGCATGTCAGTGCGATGATGGCATGGCACTGTCATACCCAGTGAGACGGCACTCCCGCAACTATTTTCTCCAGAATCTCGACCTCACCCACTCGCCCGCTCATGCCTGTGGCCACAACTTCGAGCAATTCCCATCCGGCCACGTCTCTGGGATGAACTCTTCCGTACCCAGTAAATTTTCGCTCAGATTTGGCTAGCCTGGCTTTCCTACTGCAATTTCGACTTGCCC